CTATTGCACCAGTCCACAATCCATGATGGAAAGTTTTAAATGGCTCCATGTGTATGGAAATATTCTCCATCCCGAAGAGAACCCACTTGCAAAGAAGAGTTCTTTGCAAATGAAGCTCAAGGCAATGTCAGCTGCATAATCACACCTGGGTGACAATGTATTAGTAAGAGAATGATGGCAGAAGCTGTTATACCAATCGCCCTACCAGCAAAGGTGTGGAGTGTCATTTGGAGTTTCAAGGTGGCAAGGGTGGCTGGCTGGTGCCTATGCTGATGAACAATATGACCTGTGAAAGCAAGTGTCTCGATTCACTGTCAGCAGCATCATTCTTAGTAGCATTTTTCTTTTCTTACTACATTGGCCCCAATCCTGATTTTCTGATGGTTCCAGAGATTTTATCAACTCCAGGAGACCATTTTTAAAACATGTTTTTATATCTTGAGTTTCATGCAAATATGCAGTGTATTTTGATCTGACCCTCCGTCCAACTCCTTCCCAATGTACCTCATCACAGCATCTGCTCCCAATTTCATGGCTACGTGCTACAAAAAGGAAAGGGGGAATCAACTAAGGGGGGGGGTAAGCTATAAAAGATTGTAAGAAAGGCTAGAGGGAGGATGGGAGGGAGATAACTAACTCTAAGAATGCCTGAAAGAGCCACAAGGAAACCTACCATTTTATAAGCTCTGTTTCTGTCTTTATCTCTGTGTCTCTGTCTCTCTTTGACTTTGTGTGTGTGTGTGTGTGTGTGTTTGTATATAATAAGTTTTCTATAGAGAAAGATAATGTTCCTCCAAGCTGCAACATACCTTCCAAGAATTTTTCATGTTTTAAAACTACCTAGAATAAGTGCTGGTATATATGCTGCATCCTGACCAATGGATCCCAATATCATTATGCCTTCTGATAATGGTCATATGATTTATGGGCCAGTTGCTGATCCGTCTTCTAGGAAAGCATCATGTTGTATGTCCCAGCATAAAACAGACTCAATTTATAATGGAGTCTGTGATCTCACATGGAGCTGACCAGAAATAATTACTTCTTTTCAGTCTAATGTCAGACAGCAGTGACTACTCTGACTTGCAAGTCACATGCAAGATACGCTCGTTCTGTTATAGGAAACTCCATAGGTATATAGTTCAGGGAGGGATGTGAGAACACACCAGAACCGAGGTGTTGGATGAGTATAGTTGCCACGTTTGCTCTAGTTTCCAAACAAGAAATGTGATGGCAACAGTATTATCTCTGTCCACGAGAGGCCCTGGCTTCCAAGAGAAAGCCATGGAAGGTTTCATTTCCCAATCCTGTGACTACGGGCCTGCTTCATGAAAACTATATATTTTGTTAGCATATTTCAACACTTCAACTAGTATCTATGATGTAAAGCTTATTACAGTACCAACACCGCTTGCTGAGCTATTCAGAACCATCATAGTAAGTGTACCACATATATGACGTTTATGGAAAAATACTAAATTTAAACTATACAAGACTGTGTCTCCTGAATTTTAAAGTACAGAGCACCAGTCCATCTGGCTTTCACTTCTTGGGAAAATGTTTCATTTTATGATAATTCTGACAATTTTGTATCACTTTGTAGTTATCTATCAAATAATACTATTTCTCATACATTCAAATTTTCTGGTAGTATAACCCCCTACTACTTAATTTCAATTCTATTCTACATAATAACTTATTAGTGATTTTACCCATGCACCTGACTTCTTTGAACTGCAGTTTCCTTGTATATGAAATGTGAATGACAATAGCAAATCCATCTGATGGATAGCACCTTCTCTTGTGGCATTAGAAACAAGCAATTCATCTCAAGTGAGTACACTTTCTCCAGAACACAAGAGTACACCCTAGTTTGCTTTTTCTCTTGCCTTGATAAATATCATTACCAAAAACAACTTGGAGAGAAAATTGTTTATTTCAGCTTATAGACTCCAGTCCATCCTTGAGGCTGGACAGAGCAGGAGCACAAAATGGGAAACCAGAGGCAAGAGCTCAAGCAAAGACCAGAGCAGAACTCTTGCATCCGCTGGTTGGCTTGGCTATCCTTCTTGTACAGTACAGGCCCACATGCCAAGGATGGCACTGACTATAGTGGACTAGGCCCTCCTACATCAGCTAGAAACTGAAAACATAATTCCATAGACATGCATGTGGACCGATCTGATGGAACCAATTCCTCAACTGAAATTCTATCTTCCCAAGGATCTCTAGATCAGTATTGGCAAAAACTAAGCGGCATAATGGGCATCATCTAGACCATCTTAAGTTTTTTCTAACACGATATTCTCATAACTTTTACTGGGGTCAGACTCTCTTTGAAAAAGATGTGGTTCTTGGAAATGCCATGTTAACATAATGTAGAGAAGCACCGGTCTAATGAGAACTATACTTTATGTTCGTTTCACAAAGTAATACGGTTCAACTCCATACAAATGTGTTCATTTTAGTCAAGAGTGCATATTCTCTGAATGTGTATTAAATGCTTTCCAAATACATATAAGTCAAATGAGAATCTGGAGATGTATATAGCATATATTAGACTATCAATTATGAAGAATAAAAGAAAGAAAAAAAGGGATGAGAGTGAAAAGGAAGGGGGAGATGAAAAGACATTTATACCCTGATTAAGAAGCTGTTAGACTGTTCATGGCTATTTAATCTCACGAAAGGGGTACATATTAAAACCATTAATATCCTTCCCTGACATGAAAAAGACATAGACATAGAGATTCTATGTCTATAGACATAGAGATTCAGTTACTTTAGCTGTAAGTAGTCTTTGAGAAGATTCTAGATGTCTCTATTTCACAGGCTTAACCTAACAATTTCATTTTGCTTTTGCAAATGGATAGATTTTATTCACATGTGTTCCCAGTTCAAGTATATTTTCTAGCCTGATTTAGCTTTGAAACAATCTGAAAATTGTTTAACGCATTATCTTATATCCAAAATGTTACTTAACAGTGTGATGATTTTAAACATAGACTTTGGAGTAGTGCTTTCACAGTTGATGACTGTGTAGGCATGAGCCAGTTGCCATGTGAGTCTGATTTTCCTGTACTTAAAGATGAAGAGAATGGTTATCATAAAAATCAAATATTTATTTATTTAAATCATTTAATAAACTGGTATTCTTTTATCTTAATTTTAAAAGTAAAAACAAAGACATTATAAAAAATAAAATAGTAGGGTATCCCCATGTATTCAGGGTTTGGGTATACAAATGAGTTAATTACTAACATTTAAAATACTTCAGTCATTTTTATTACTATTTATGTTTGAATTTTACTTCTGTCATCCTAGTCATGTATTTTTGTGTCTATGTAAAAGTTTGTTTTCACAACTGAACTATGTGTTGTTAAAAGGTGAGATCTATTTCAAACACTTCTTTCTTTCTTTTTTTTTTTTTTTTTTCTTTCTCAATGTTCAATCTAGGGCTATGCTCACAAAAGAATGTAAAAAAAAAAAATACCCAAGGAATAAATATAACTTAGTACACTGGACATGGAGATTGCTTTAAAATTATCTAAACTAATTTTGAAATAAAAAATAGTAGCCTGTCTTCCAGGTCCCATTAATTCAAATATGTGGTTGCAACCATAATGCAGCTGAGCAACTCTAAGCAGAATAATTACAGTCAGTGGCTGAGATAGCTGCAGTTCTTAACCTAACCAAGTCCACATTTCAGTGATCAATTAAGAAAACAGTAAATATAAGAGAGAAGTGGGAGTGAGAATTGCTATAAAGAAACCAAAACACCCTGAGTGATAAAGAAGGATCAGCAACCAGGAGAGAGGTGGCTACTACCCAGAATGATCAGAAAGGAACTCCAAAAAAGTGTCACTTGATTCAAATTCTAAAAAAAGAAGTCAGCCCAACCCGTATGCATCTCTGAAAGATGGGTAGACAACAGAGGACAAGTGAGAAGGTCTGGATGAGAACCAGCAGCTTGGTATGGTTTAAAGTAAGAGCAGTGTGGCTGAGAAAGGGTGACTCATGAGGTGGGTACAAGCTAGCTCATGAATGGCCTGGCCTGTCAGCTATATAAATGACTTTAAAACCATTCTAAATGGACTGTAAAACATTCAAGAAGATGAATGTTACTTGGTTTGTGCTTTAACAAGTATGTAAATGAGAAGCTTTAGAAGGAAAAGAGTGAAAACAGTGTAACTCCATAGTCCAGTAAAAATAGGAAGTGATTTTGTTAAACTCATAGCAAGTGGACTGACCAAGAGACTTTTGTTTGGACACTGCTGTTAATGGGAACCATGAACAATGTGAGGATCGTGGCTCCAATTCACTCTAGGGAAGCAGGAACAGTTAACACTTCTTGGAGTAGTTAACCAGTGTCAATCAGAAGTGCTGACTGATATCTTTCTTAGGGCGGGGGATGTAGCTCATTTGGTAGCATGCTTGCCAAATATGAGCAAAGCCCTGGTCCATTTCCAATGACGCAGCAGCACAGACCTGTAATCCTAGTACTACTTGAGAGATGGGGCCAGAACAACCTGTATTCAAGATCATATTCACAGTATAAAGTAAGCTTGAGGACAACCTGGGTTACATGTGACCCTCTGCCAAAAAAGTATTCTGGCTAATTTCCTCTGTAAATGAATTCTACTTTACACAACCCCTCTGAAAGGTGTGTGTGTGTGTGTGTGTGTGTGTGTGTGTGTGTGTGTGTGTGTTTCAGCAAAAGCACACGGGGGAAAGGAGAGAGATAACTTATTATACCATTAAAGCCAGGTCATATACAAACGTGATAAAATTATGTTACTAAAGCTCAGTAGATCTTTTTGTGATGCAATTAAAATTTTAGGAGAAAAGGAGTCATCATAGAAAACGCTGGTGATAGGCCAGCAAGCGTAACTCCTGTAGAGGGCAGATTTTTCCTGCGTCGTAAAACTTATGCCTTGCGTCTTACGTGAGCAGAGCAACGGTCTTCCTGGAATTTTACTTCCGCTTCCGGGACTGGCAACATGAGCTCTCCTGAGGAGCAGTCTGTTCCAGGAGATGGTGTCTATGTGGAGGGTGGAGACAATGCCAAGAGCTTGAGCCTTGTCCCAAGCCCTGTCGAGAGCAGCGAGGGGGAAGGCAGCCTCCCAGGCCCCAAAGGCAGCAAGTTCTCGTTGGTGTCCCAGCTGGAGGTAGCAGAGACCACATCGGTGGTGTTTTGGACCAGCTCGCCCGAGTCCCTGATGCCAGAGGAAGAGAGTCTAGTTTCCCCAGTGGAAGAAGTGGTTGGTTTGGAATTCGTCTCCCAAGCCAGTGTAGAGACTGAGGCTATCGGAGAGCAACTGTCTGTCCTGGAGACACCAGGAGCCAGAGAACACCCATCCACAGAGAGCTTTTCTGCTGAGACAGAGTCCGGCTCCAGCAAGAGAGGTCCACAGGCCTCGGGCCCTGAGGAGGCAAAGTCAGCCTCTGCTGCCACTCTCTTCACCAAGGGACTGGAGCAAAGCAGGGCTTGGGTGACCCCGAGGAAGAGTAGCAGTAGCAGAATGGTGATCGGCGAGGATACCCACCGTATCACTTCTGAACCTGAGTTGTCAGAGGAATTAAACGAGGTACAGATGATGAGGGTGACCATTTGTCTTAAAGATGGGAGCCAGACTAAGACCAGTGGCTCTGCAGAAACTGGAGACCTGGCCAGACATCCAAATGTCCAGACCAGGGACAGTGTCATCCGGATGCCCTCCTCCCTGCTGACCTCTACTACCCGGGCACTCACCTCTGGCACGGAAAGGCAGGCCTCGAAAGAGCTAGAAGCCTTTTCCTCTAAGAAAAAGCAAGGTGTCTTATTGGGTAAGGGAGGAAACAAGCCCAGTTACGCAGAGGCTGCAGCCGGGGCAGGTAGCCTGCCCAAGGCCAGTCCTAAAAAGAAGATGGCCCAGAAGAAAAAAACCTCGTGGGATGCCTCATCAGTTACTCTGGGGAGAGCCTTCCATCAATGGGGCCAGAGACTGAAGTCGACTCCTGCAGAACCAGCTACCTTCCCCCCAATCTCTGGTGTTGGCCTGCCTGGGAGGTCCAATAAATGCTCACTGCTGCCTTTGAGACCCAAACAGTGCAAGAACTTCTACACTGGGAAGAAATCTGGGGCAAAGAGGACAAAGGAGTTACAGTTGGTATTGAAAGAAGACACAGACCCCTGCTCACAGGTTCAGTTTCCAACACACAGGGCAGAGTTAACTTGCCAGAGTGTGCATCAAGAATACAGCAGTGGGGATATAAACACCCGAAGCTTCCAGGATCCCGGAAACTCTCAGGCTTTAGCCCTGAGTCACAGAGCCATCATGTCCAGGAGATCGGTGGGCCCCGGTGACCAGGAACCGCCTGTGGATCCCCCAACCTCAGATCCAGAGACAGAGCAACTACTTGGAACACAGGGATGTCCCCGTTGTCCGGAGTTACAGAAGGAAATAGAGGACCTCAAGAAACAACTGTCCACCCTGCAAGCTCTCAATGAGAAGTTCCAGGGCCTTTCAAGCTAAAACCAGTGTGTCCACTAGACAAATTAACTTCCTTCCGGTTCTTCCTCCAGGTTTTTCTCTCCTATTTGCCTTTGCCCCTACCCCTAACCCGAGTTAACAGTAGTTTCTAGTTAAAGTACATCTTAGTAGTAAAATTAAAGTTGTGATACAAAGTAAATAAAGATGATGCTAAAGAATGCTGCTTGTTTCTGCCTTCTTAAAACTGGTCTGTGTACAAGTAAGGCCTAGGATGGAACATGAAGAAAAATGACAAAGAGGTCAAGGGTATTTTTTTTTTCAAGCTTCTCTGTAAGTTTTTCAAGCTATTAGTTCTTATTCTGGCTTCAGGTTTTGATTTCTTTGTTTCCTTGAGAATGGCCCCACATCAAAGAAATCATAATGATCCTCCAGATAAACATAAACTTCACTCTCCGATCCTAAATGGCTTAGAGGGAATTGCTCTATGTATTTTTACAGGCTAGTGCATATGGATGGGAAAATACAAATATAAATCTAGGTGCTTATGTGTTGTTTTAATATTTTAAGTAAAGAATTCAGTCAGCTGACCTTTTTCTTTCTTTCTCTTATCCCTGCTTCTCTGGATTTTCCCAAATGCCTTTGTTCACATACCAAGGAAAAACCTGTCCAGGTAGCAGCATCAATGCACTTCAAGGCTCACCGGAAAAATTCTAATTTTCTCGGTGCCTGGCTAGCGCTATAGTGGTACAGCCAGAATTTCAGAAAGAAGTCAATGGAGTCTATTGAATATCTGGCCCAACAAAACCTAAATGTAAGATCTCTGATAACTCTTCAAGCATGACAAGCAGAAAATAAATGCAAAGGCATAGCCCCAACCCAAAACCAGAGCATGCAAGCTGTTTGCAAACAGAAGCAAAATGGAGGGAAAAAAATTTGGTAGAAGTCACTTTTCCCACAAGTTCTTTATCCATGTCTTAAAGGGCTTTATCTCCACACTATTCCTGCATTTTGCCCCAGACAACTAGGCTCTTTTGATCAAGCAAATGATACTCTTTAGGAATCTAGAATGAAAAAAACATGGGGCTGTCTCTGACATGAACTCAGAGGCTGGCTTTTTGATCACCTCCCCCTGAGGTGGTAGGGGGTGGGGGGAGAAACCTTGCCAGGCCACAGAGGAAGACAACCTAGCCAAACCTGATGAGACCTGATAGGCTAGGGTCAGATGGAAGGGGAGGACGACCTCCCCTAACAGTGGACTCAGGGAGGGGAATGGGAGGAAAAGAGGAAGGGAGGGGGGTAGTGGAAGGGGACAATGGAGGGAGCCACAGCTGGGATACAAAATGAATAAATTGTAATAAATAAAAAGGGAAAAAAAACATGTTTTATTTGCTTCAAAAATGTATCATCTCGTGGATAGGAGAGATTCACACCAATATCATAGAACAAATTGTAATGCATAGTGTAAAAATAACTGTAAAGCTATGTGCCACAGAGGATGGAACCCTGTGCTATAGTTATTAACTTATCTTTAAATCTCTGTTTCAGTACTTTCTGATGAAGTGCCCTTGGATGACTCAGTTTAATTTTGTTGAGCTTTCATTCTTCTTCTGTAAGATGGGGATAATAACAATTAGACTTCATGTGTGAGGAAGAACTGCCTGAAGCGTAAAAGTCAAATTTCAGGAAAATATAAAGGGTTGACTGTGGTTTTAAATCTAAAGACAATAAAGCACAATTCTGAATGACAAATTTCATACCTTAGAGGTGTAACTAGCTTCCCCTGCTCAACTATTGGAATAGTCCAATAAATAGAGAAGAGGGCATCTCTGGGCCTTCTGAGACATCACAAGGAAGAAACAATCAGGTAGCTGGGTCACAGGGGACATCATGTGAGAAGCAGCCCCACTGCTTAACACCCTCTGAATTTAGAGAGTTCAGGCCAGAGCACTGTATATGTATAAGACAAAATGTCATGAAGACATGTGGTGAACGGGGACATCTCCACACTCACATGAAAATGCATCATCTCTCACACATATATGAAAACAACACTTAGCTCATTTAAAATTATCAAGGAAGCCAGGCATAGTTGCACACAATTTTAATATTTGCACTAGGAAGGCAGAGGCAGGAATATCTTGGTGATTTCAAGGCCAGCATGATCGACATAGTGAGTTCTAGGACAGCCAGAGCTATATAGTGAGATACACCCTGTCTCAAAAAAAAAAAAAAAAAAAAAAAGAAAGAAAGAAAGAAAGAAAGAAAGAAAAAAGAAACATAAATTTACCAAGAAAAGTTGCCAAAATACCACATGTACTTCTTAAATAACAACAAAATTCACTTAAATGGTTGTTAGCACAAGGAAAACATACTTGTTTGTGTGATGGTAGGTGAGAATTGGAACCAAATGTCAACTTAAACATCACCAAATTGTCCTGACTTACTACATGCTCAGAGCAAAGAAGAGATTTGCTAGTAACACTGTGTTCATAGAACAGAGAAGAATCAACTGTTAGCGCTCCAAAGAGAATTCTAGAGAAAATGATCATAAATGAAAGTTAATATTAAAATGTTTAAAACGGACCAGAAGTGACACATATGTACGTACATACATACATACATGCATACAAATAAGGGGTCCAGAGATACTGCTCAGTGGTGGAGCACTTGCTTAGGATGCATAAGGTTCTAGGTTCTGTTGTCAGCATGGCAAAAAATTTCACTGATGAGAAACAGCTACAGAAGAACACAGTAGATGTGGGAAATAGTTAAGGCTAGTTCCCTTGAGGAAGATATCAAAAGTAAATAGAATATTCAAGTCATAATAAAATTCTAGTATATGGAGGAAAACACTGACTTAACAATTTTAAAAACTTCCCAGGTCAATGGAAAAACTTCCCATTCCATCTCCCTAGACTAATTCCAATTTCCAGAAGCAATAATTAAAAGAAAATGAGTAATTTTTACCAGATAATACAAATTTTAAAGTTTGAGGAATATTTTTGAAACATGTTTTACATACTAAACATCTTTCTAAATGTAACAAATTCCGGAGACTATGAAGAAAAAAAAAAAACAAATTTGATTAGTTTTTTTCAACACATCATTAAAAGGAAGTTCACAGAAAACATAATTAGCCATAACTGTATGAACGGAGGTTCACTCTTGTTATAATGAGATATGCAAATAAAAACTATCAAGAGATACTACTTCTTAAATAGCAGAGTTAAAAAAATTTTAGTAACACTTGGGTTCACCAAGTATGTTTGTGTTGAGAGCATAGTTAGATGTGCTTTATAAAGAACAGCTTGACAATACCCATTAAATATAAAAATGTACACACCGATAATTTCTAATTTTAATAGCTCAGCTTCAACTATTCCTATAGTCTAAAAATGATGTATATACACTGAGGAATTACTTATGGTAGCAAAAATAAGCAGCCCAAATACATTTCCATCAGCTAAGTAAATGATTACCACCCAAAATAATGAGAAATCTCCTTGTTTATGTCTATGGAGTATATCTCCAAAATAAACAATTTAGTAATAAATTCGAGGTATTATGTCTCTACAGAAATTCTATGAGTTTGTGCATGTTTAGATATGCATTTGAAAATTGTGATTATCACTGGAGCAACACAAGGGAAGCAACCAAACATGTATCTCTGGTGAGGTAAAACAGAACTTGGGGTGTCTGACAGGAAAATATGAATGGCCTCTTTGTTTCTACAGATTTTTGTATTATCTGGTCAAAATCATTGATTATATCTTAATTATTGCCTCCAGAAATTGGAATTAGTTTAGAGAGATGGAATGGAAAGTCTTTTTGTTGTTCTGCAAAGGTTTGGAGTTTTTTATATTATAAACTCGCTTCTTTATTTTTTGATACAAGTATTATTTTTATCTTGGTTGAAAACTTCAGAGATTACATATAAAAATAAGTTGAAATTCTATATTCTATTTAAAATACCATATCCCACTATTTGGCTGTTTGTGTCAAAACTAGGAGTAGAAAATATGTCACTGTAGCTATAATAGTGACAAGATGTTCCATGTATTATAGGAATGCAAAGAAGGATCAGTCAATTCTGGAGGCAGATGGATGTTTACCATGAAATGCAGAGACAGCGATGCAGATTAAACTGGCCCTTGAAGGATGTTAGTTCACTCAGCAGGTATCTGGGATGGATGTTATAGACACAGGCTGAAACATGTGTATAAGAAAGCACAGTGCTACATGGAACCTATGATGTTTGCAGAGGCATGGCCTCTGGTAGGACACCAAGGTAGGAAGGTCACAAGAGAAAAAACTAGACACAAAGTAGAAAGGGGAATTGAGATTCAAGCCTACCTGCTGTGTTAAGGCAGACAAAGTGTCCATATGAATCAGTGGATCTAAAGCTTACTAGCTATCAGAAGTACCTGAAAGAGCCACACAAAAACACAAGTTCTCAGATACCATCTCATGACAATCAAATCTCATTCTGATTAGTAGATTTGTTGATCTGGAATTTAAACCTAATTTAAACTTCTACAAACAAGGAATTGTCAGAACTCAAGTTACAGTGTCTCAGGGCAGCATTGTGTGTGCAAAGAGACAGGAATGGATCATAGAATCCTATTGATAGGTTATCAGGAACTATGTATATTTCACTCTGTATACATATCAGCCTAAACACTGAGATTTCCAAGTTCTCACAGCTCTAAACTCCTTCTTGCCTAAAATTTGCTAAAGATGAGGCAGGAATAGAAAAATACTTTTTTCCCTGATCCTCTCTCCAAGCCTCTTCATGATATCACTGCTATGACTAAGTGAGCAGGAAGTACTCAGTGTTAAAAAATAACTAAGCACTTTTACTAAGATTTTTCATTCAAGGTAAAGACTTTCTTCTTTTATGTAAAATAAAAAATAAATAAAAACAACAATATCTTATGATCATCTTAGTGCTTTTTCTGTTGTGATAAAATACTCTGACAAAGGCAACATAAGAGAGAGTTTATTTTAACTCACACTTCAACATATAGGTTACCATGGTAGAG